ATCTATTCTACGTGTTGCTGTGTTGGCTGCCTCTCTCTGCTCCCTCTGTCCTTCTCTCTCTCTCTCTCTTGCCCTCTCTCCCTCTAACCCCCAACTGGCTGAGGAAGATGGCCGCCCACCCTGAGCCAAGGTTCTGCTCCAGGTTTCTGCCTGTTAAAAGGAAGTTTTTCCTTGCCTGTGTCGCCTAGTGCTTGCTCATGGTGGGAATTGTTGGGTTTCTGTAGTTAACTTCAGAGTAGGGTCTGACCTGCTCTGTTTGGAAAGCTGTGAGACAACTGTTGTTGTGATGTGGCGCTGTATAAATAGAATTGAATTGAATTGAGTCTGCAGCTTGTGCTGGTTTGGTTTCCCTCTGCAGGTGTCTGGGTGGGGGCGGGCTGCAGCCTGGCCGAGCTGCGCTCTCTGCTGCAGAAGCTGGTCCCCCGGCTGCAGGAGGAGAAGACGCAGCTGCTCAGAGCCCTGATCCAGCAGCTGGGGCAGCTGGGGAGCCAGCAGATCCGCAACGTGGCGGTAGGACGCACATTTACACTGTTCAGTTTGATAAGAATCCCAGAACCAGAAACCCTGTGAGGGGAAAGGCGACTCCTGTCAGGATGGAAATCACAACACGTGCTGATTTACTCAGCTGAAATATTAAAACAAAGATATTGTACGAATGTTTTCCCGTGCTGCAGACATGAGTGAGCCCTTCGTTAGCTGTTAGCTGTTAGCTCGTCCAATTAGCATGCACACAGATATTAAAGCTCCTCTTTAACGTCCTGTTTCTGTCCTCTGCTGCCTTCACGTTGTGTGTTAGTCTGTGGGTGGAAACATCGTGAGTGCGTGTCCCAACTCGGACCTGAACCCGGTTCTGGCTGCTGGGAACTGCAGGGTCAGCCTCATCTCTGCCGGTGAGTGGCCACCTTTTTCTCTCCTCCAGACGCTCAAAGAGAATCTGAGAAGTGAGCAGGTTTTCTTCAAACCCAGCAGGAGGCAGACGGGAGGTCCCACTGAACCAGGACTTCTTTGTGGGGTTTGGAAAAACCATCCTGAGACCAGAAGAAGTCCTGGTCTCTGTTTTCATTCCCTTTACAGCAAAGGTACTGGAGTCCTGACTGACACCTTTTCCCAGCTTCTTGCTGTTTTTTTTATCTGAATCTGAGCTGTGAGTGGGGTTTTCTGGGGGGCAGAATTAGCTGATTTGAGGTGTGATGCCGTGTCTGTCCTGCAGGGGGAGTTTGTGGGAGCTCTCCGCCAGGCGCCGAGGAAGGAGGCCTCCTTTGCCACGGTGACCACGGGGATGAGGGTCCGTTTCTCAGAGGGGTCCCGAGTGGTGGAGGACGTCAGTATCTACTATGGAGGAATGGGCCCCACCACCATCGGAGCCCCCAAAACCTGCAAAGCCATCCAGGGAAGGTGGGAGCAGCTTTTCCTTTTCTCCACGTCTGTGACCTCGTCCCTCCTCCTTTTCCCGCGGGGGGGCAGATGGGGGCTTGTGTCTGACGGCTGTCTCTCTGCAGGCCGTGGGACGAGGAAACCCTGACCCGGGCCTACGACGTCCTCCTGGAGGAGCTGGTCCTCCCTCCTTCTGCCCCCGGAGGGAAGGTGGAGTTCCGGCGCTCCCTGACTCTCAGCCTGCTCTTCAAGTTCCACCTGGAGGTCCTTCAGAGGCTCAGAGAGATGGTAATCAATTCAATTCAATTCAATTTTATTTATATAGCGCCACAACAGTTGTCTCACAGCGCTTTTCAAACAGAGCAGGTCAGACCCTACTCTGAAGTTAACTACAGAAACCCAACAATTCCCACCATGAGCAAGCACTAGGCGACACAGGCAAGGAAAAACTTCCTTTTAACAGGCAGAAACCT